CCAGAAGGGGATCGACGGGCTCCGGATCGGAGGTTCCATTGGTCAGGTGCTTCTCCGCCGGATCAAAGACCAGGGCCGGGGGCTCGGACGACAATCCACCGCCTTCTGAACGTGAGTGAGTCACCGTCACCGGATCGCCAATTTCACCGTCGCACATCGCGCTTTCTTTTTTTCCGTTCGGTACGGCGTTCTTCTTCTGGCGTTTTTATTTCTACCGATTTTGCGATTTATCCAATCTAACAACTTTGCTGCCAAACTCAGATGAAGTGCGTCATTATTTCACTGCTGGCTGCTGCTGTGACGCATAATTAACACTTCTCTAATTGCGCGTCCAGCGTTTGTTGATGTAAAAGCACATTTAATTTGGTTACTTGTAAAATCCAGCGACTACTCAGATTGCGAGAGCGAGTGAGAGCGACTGCGAACAGCTGATTTTGAGGTCTCGCGGTGCTATCGATAGCGGGCGGGAACGTTCACTGGTTATCGATAAGCAATTGAGAAGTAACACTTAAAGTAGTGTTTACACTGGCCCATTTATCAAGCTATTTATATATTAATGGTCTTATATATTACATATTTTCTCTTTACATAAAATACAAAATGCTACATACAAAATGGAACAAACACAAACAAAAAGGGCTAAGCAGAAATACAATATTTTTTAATATCTTAAGGTATAAGCTTAAAATAGGAGCTATATATTAAAAGTAAGAAAAAGTAATGAAAACTACTTTAAAAAAAATTAGACTTATTAAAATAATTGCTGAAATTACCTTATAGCATTGTTTAAATGATTGAATAATAATATAAAATTAACTATTTATTTGGAACGAAACCTGCTTCAAATAAAGCCTTTTTCAAACCATTTTATAAATATGAAATTTTACTAGATGATTCGGAGCAGTAGGCGTAGTTGAGAATGTAAAAACCAAGAATATAAGCGACTCAAAGCGATTTTAATAGCAGCACAGCCGGCTGATTTACAAATCATTTGTGATTCTAGCGCAATTAACATAAATCACTTTCGATTAATTCGCGTTCCAATCGAAGTAAGTAGGTGGAAACATTCCGCGAAGCGAAGATATCGAGGCGACGGCGTCGTTTGCATTTTGCGAGCGGCTAAGCGAATTTATAGTTCCGCTGCGAATGTCTACACAGATTTAATCCTCGAATAATATGAAGAAAACCAAGCCGCTGCTGCACGACCATCTAATAACGATCCGAGTGAAGAAGGTGGGTGAAAATACGTAGTTTTCCGGCCAAATTTGTCCCTGTCCCCTGCCAGCTGCCCGACAGCCGGCAAATTCACATGAAAAAACAAAAAAACCCTTTGCAAGGGCGGCGAATTTGGGCAAAGAAAAAAAACAAGGTTAGGTCGCAGGCGGTCCGCATCGTGTGCTAATTGTCGTTTTCATTTCGATTCCAGTACCTCGAGGAGCACATCGGCGAGACCTATCTGGATGTGAAGCAGATGACCCGGGAGTTGATGCAAAAGTATCCGGAATACTCGCGTCGCAAATTCGGTCCGTTCAGGCAGTTGGTGCACCAAGGTAAACAATGGGCAAATCGGGTTTGTAAACTGTTGTTGGTCCTATGATATACATAGATTAAAAGAAGTCACGCGTTTTAAAAATATTGACCTTTTGATATATATATGTAAATAATAAATTTCAATTCCTCTCCCCTCAGCATTTTCCATTATCTCGGATAGCTACAACTTGGACAAGGTGAGCAGCTCCGAGGACGAGAACATCAGCGAGGAATTGGAGGCACCACCCACCAACAGTGTGATGAACAACATGATGAACAGCCTGTACAGTCAGCCAAGGAAACCACTGGCTGCCAAGCCAATAACCGAACCCATCGATATATCCAGTGGAGACGACAACGACGATGACTCCAATACCAACACCACCAATGGAGATGGTCAGGCTCCTGCTCCGCCATTAAGTCAGCCAACCGCTCTGAAACGTTTGATGAACGATCTGCCGGAGACCACGGCGGTTCCAAAGAAATGTAAGTTAGGGTAACCCAACCTTGGATTTATAATTATTTTATATATTTTTCTCATAGCAGCTAAGCCAAATACTATTCAAGGCTCTGGTCCGGAATCGACCCACAAATGTGAGAAAATCCATGCATAATTCATTGAAAATCATTAAAATCTCTCTATTTAGATCACATAGGGATGGGTGCCAGAGGTAAAAACCACTCAGAGGACGCCGGTCCACGCAAGGATCATCGTAATGCGCCCGGATTGTATCAACAGCTGCACCCAAATGCAACTCGCGACCGCCCCCGTAAGTACAAGAAGGAACTGGAGGTGCAGCATACCACCGAGAGTTTCCGTGACATTGGCGGCATGGATAGCACCCTGAAGGAGCTGTGCGAGATGCTCATCCACATTAAGTCGCCGGAGTTCTATTTTCAATTGGGACTGCTCCCCTCGAGGGGCCTTTTGCTGCACGGTCCGCCAGGATGCGGCAAGACCTTTCTGGCCCGTGCCATTAGTGGGGTATGTTATTATACAAGAAAAAGAATCTATTTTTTGCCTCCTTCATACAAAATCTTCGTTATACAGCAATTAAAGATGCCGCTGCTGGAAATTCCGGCTACTGAGCTGATTGGCGGAATCTCTGGCGAGTCGGAGGAGCGCATACGCGAGGTCTTCGAGCAGGCCATGGGCTTTTCGCCCTGTGTGCTGTTTATCGACGAGATCGACGCCATCGGTGGCAATCGTCAGTGGGCGGCCAAGGATATGGAGCGGCGCATTGTGTCGCAGCTGATCAGTAGTTTGGATAACCTAAAGGCCAACGAATTTGGCCAGTCCGTGGTGGTTATTGGGGCCACCACGCGTCCCGATGTCCTGGATCCCGGTCTACGTCGCATCGGTCGCTTCGATCATGAAATCGCCATACATATTCCATCGCGCAAGGAGCGTCGTGAGATTCTGCGCATCCAGTGCGAGGGTTTGTCCATTGATCCCAAGCTTAACTACGATAAGATTGCCGAGCTGACACCTGGCTATGTGGGTGCCGATCTAATGGCTCTTGTCTGCCGGGCTGCAGCCGTGGCTGTCAAGCGTAGGTCCATGAAGAAGTTCCGTGAGCTGCACGCTGCCAGCGAGAAGAATATGACCACTGTCACGTTGGACGACGATGAGCCCAGCGAGGAGCCAGGTGACAAGGCTGAAAAAGCAACAGAGGCTGACCCGAAAGCTGACAAGGAAGCAGAAGCGGACCCAAAGGAGGATGGGGATAAGGAAGCAACCAACAAGGAGACGCCTGAAGGCGAAAAACCCAAAACTGAAACCCCCAAGAAAACGACCAACGGCAAATCAACTGAGAACCCAGTGGATGCCGCCATGGAGGTGGATGAAGAGGCTGTTTGTGAGCCGGAAAAACCCGTAGAACAGGAAGCGGACTCCTCGAACGACGAATACTACGAACCCACACTGGCCGAGCTGACCAACTTTCTGGACAATCCACCCGAGGAGTTCGCCGACCCGAACTTCTGTCTAACACTCATCGATTTCGTGGACGCCATCAAGGTGATGCAGCCATCGGCCAAGCGTGAGGGTTTTGTCACAGTGCCGGACACTACTTGGGACGACATTGGAGCCCTGCAAAACATTCGCGACGAGCTTAAGCTGGCCGTCCTGGCGCCAGTTAAATATCCGGAGATGCTCGATCGTCTCGGGTTGAATGCTCCTTCTGGCGTTCTGCTGTGCGGTCCGCCGGGTTGCGGCAAAACGCTCCTCGCCAAGGCTATTGCCAATGAGGCTGGCATTAATTTTATATCGGTGAAGGGACCAGAGCTAATGAACATGGTGAGTTCATTGCGGTTGTGTTTAATGTTCTTCATTCCTTGCTAATCATTGGATTACTTTACAGTATGTGGGCGAAAGTGAACGCGCTGTGCGGGCCTGCTTTCAACGTGCTCGTAACTCAGCCCCCTGCGTCATCTTCTTCGATGAGTTTGACTCCTTGTGTCCCAAGCGCTCGGATGGTGGCGATGGCAACAATTCTGGGACCCGCATAGTCAATCAGCTTCTGACCGAAATGGATGGCGTGGAGGAGCGCAAGGGTGTATACATACTGGCGGCGACCAACCGACCGGACATTATTGATCCTGCTATCCTGCGACCGGGTCGCTTGGACACCATTCTGTACGTGGGTCTTCCCGAGCAGAGCGAGCGTGCCGAAATTCTAAAGGCCACAACCAAGGTAAGAAAATTTAGCTTTGCTCTTGATGGGGAATCATTACTAAAGTTTATTTTGCTCTCTTTTTCAGAACGGAAAGCGTCCTGTGCTGGCCGACGATGTAGATCTGGATGAGATCGCTGCCCAAACCGAGGGTTACACTGGTGCAGATTTGGCAGGACTGGTTAAGCAGGCCTCCATGTTCGCCCTGCGCCAATCAATCAACGATGGCGACACGAAACTCGACGATCTGTGCGTACGCAGCCAGCATTTCAAAGAGGCTCTGCAGCAGCTTCGACCCTCAGTTAACGAACAGGTAATGAAAGCTTTAAATAATCCCCATTTAATGCCCTCTAATTTGTTTGATTTATTGCTTTACAGGATCGCAAAGTGTACGACAAACTGCGCCTGAAATACGCTGCACCTAGGGTACCCACCTTCGATGATAAGTAAACGCCCTCAACAATAATGGATTTGTTGTTTTAGTCGATAAGCATACCCGCAAATCGAATTGAATATGTTTTGCGAGAATTTTCGTATGATTTTCAATACAAATGTAATATTACCCAGAAATCCAATTATTTCTTAGCCATTGTGAGCCTACCATGCAAAATGGGTAGAGCGCTAAATGTAATTAGTTTACTTTTTTGAAGAGCAAGGGTTTCTAGTGAGTTTTTCACTTTTATTTTACAAAGTATCTTGCACGATTCCTCATATTTACAAAATTGAAGCACTTTTGTGTTAGTAAATCGGTTTGTTAACTATTCCAAAAACCATTTTGTACAACTGACAAATTCGTAGGATGAATGAAAACGCCCTTTATTGCCAATGCTGGTACATTTAATTTAAAAAACACATTAATTTAAAACGTAAACCTCTACTAATCACAAACGGAGAACTTTTAGTTTATAGAAACACCCCCAGCGGCATGGTGGACGAGATGGGTGGCTTGCCACGGCTGGTAAGGATCACGCCATCGCCACCGCCACCGCCTCGACCATCGCGACTGAGGCCGGATCGCTTAATAGGTGGATTTCGCGTGGCCAATTGCCGCGGAAATAGACCGGCGGGCAGCGCATGCAGTCCTTCGGGCAGGACCTGTGGTCCACTGGCCTTGGAACCCCTGTGCAGGCGGAGGATGGCTTCGTGTTGCGCCACAACCGAGTGCTTCGCCCGCTTTTTCCTCTTGGTCAAGGTCTTGGCACAATCACCACCAGCCGTAGACTCCTCCGTGGTCGGGGACGGACTTTCAGTGGCCATGCCCTCGTTACTGGGCTGCGGCGACTCGTAGTGAGCCGGACGGGGCAATGGTGGCTCATTCTCGCGCTTGATTTGGAGTCGCAAGTCATAGGATCGCTTGCACATCTCCCGGATGCCGTACCAGCTTTCGTGGCCGATTTGACTCACCATCTCCACGGGCGGCTGGAAACCCAGTTCCCGCGAGGGCAGCTCCATCACCAAAGCCATCGGCACCTTCAGCACTCCGTACACATAGTCCACAACGGATCCGGCTATGGTGCGCTTGGTGAGACAGCTGATGCTTCCCGTCCGGTACTCCCGTCCGTTGTACGATTTAATGGCACTCTTCCCGGAGTTGGCCAAGGAGCTCAGCTCCCTCCAGTAGAGCGGACTTTCACGGCAGTAGCCCCATGGATACATGATGCTCTGGCCATACGAGTGCAGCGACAGGAAGAACAGCAGGTTGGGACTCATCCGGTCAAGTATGTTCCGTATCGCCCGCGTCTCCGGCTCGGAGAAGGCACGTTCGCCCTTATACGTGTTCCGGTTTATCTTGCTGGGTCCGCTGCCCCAAAAGATGTCGTAGTTGCGGTTGCAATCAGTTCCCACAAATCTGCTGGATTTGTGGGGTCGCCGGTTCTTGCGCCAATTCACATTCTGCAGGTTATTTAGGGGTTAATTTTTGTTTGATAATCTGTTTATAAACGGTGCAACTTCAGTATTTAGATATTGGTACATAAATTATTATTTTTTTTAATTCTGTTTGGAAATTGACGCTATATTGGTGCACCTAACCTAAAAGTTCGAATTACCTCATTACTCTTAAACGTAATGCATAAAAAATAAAACTTATGACCTTTTTTCATGATAGGTAAGGTTTAAACTTTGGATACCAGCACCGATCGTTGAAATAATGCGACTTTCAGTCAAAATATGAAGCTTGTCAAGTGATCAAAAGTTGCAAGTAGTTAAGTTAATAGTAAAGTATGCAAAAAAATAATGGTTAAAGCTCTTTAGTTTTTACTTTATGGGAATTTTTAGCATGAAAAATTGACCAGACAAACGCGAAATATAAAAGTGAACTTTTGAAATCAAAGGCACAGGGACAAAACTAAATAGTCGCTGACAAAATCGCATATAGTAACTATCTGAGTAGCTTAAAAAAATTAAAAGCAGATTGTTTACGGAAGTGTGCTCTACCGCAGTCGAATGCTTCGTAAGATTACCTTGGTGCGGGAGTATTCGTATCCATCGGGATTGACCAGAGGCACAATGATGAAGCGCAGCTTTCGCAGGACTTCTATGTTCCTGGTGTAGCGCTCCGTCAGCTGGTAGATGCAATTGAGGGCCGTCGAGATGCTGATCCACTCGCGGGCATGGGTGCCCGCCTCGATGAAGACCGTTTTCCGGCAGTGCTCGCCCGTGTGGACCGCCGGAGCCTTGGATCGTCCGTTGGCCACAAATGGCGGCGGTGATTGCTCACGCATTTGTGAGGACAACTCGACGTTATCCGAGTTCATCCAGTTGATCTCGAGGGCTCGAATTTCGCGCTTCTCGTGCGTTTGACCCAACGTGTACATGTGCACGAAGTGGGGATACCGCTGGGCCAGGTACTCCATATACTGGTTAATTTGCTTGTACTCCAGGTACGAATGCAGGATATCCGGTCGTGGGATTACCAATCGGCGCACCGGCGTAAAGGGAGTATCCCGATTCCGGTCGTTTGCCGTCTGTGTATTTCGTTGGGATTTGGCGGCCATCATAGACAAAACAAAGGATTTTTAAAAAGGGAAACAAGAAAACACTATTTATCACTACAGAATTTTAAAGATTTGACCTATCGTGTGGGTGAGACTCGAACGGAAACTGAGATTCCGCATCGAACTGGCACCTGAGCGGATGATTCCTGGCCTGCTGCGTGGCACCCTCACCTGGCACTTGATGTTCAGGTGGAGCCGCTCGACCACGAGCAGAGCGACCCGTGTGCCCTGCTTGGGTTTGTCTTCCATTGTGCGGGCCCCAAACAGACGCCGCCGGGGTTTTGTACCCCTAAATGGCAACAATCGTACTCCCACGGAAAGTCCAACTCCCCTCCAGTTGTTCCTCTTGATACACTTCAAGAAATTGGACTTTAATTCAATGTTGTTAGAGTCAGAAACTATTAAAAAAAAGCATAAAACATATTCTCAGTAAATATATTCATTCTTTATAAAATCTTATAAAAAAATATTTTATTATATATTATTTCATTTACGTTTACCTAAAACAAATTGTTTCATTAGAATTAGTTAGGCGGTTAGGAGGTTTGTCTTTTAAATTAAATTTAATTTTTGAAACAACATACCCAAGAGAGCTCTGAAAAAAAGTCGGAAAGTTTAAAAACACACAAAAAAACAAATAGAAACAACATTTTTTCCAGTTTAGTTTTGTTTTGTAATTATAGATTTTTTTTGTTTTAGTCATATAGCTAATATTAGCTATTAAATAATATAAAATTCGATGTTATCATTGCCAGTAAAAGTTAAAGTAAAACATAGATTAGTTAGACAAGTTTTTTAGTTATAGTTAATGCATTAATATTTTTGTGAGTGTAGAGTTCGCAGTGGGTAAATGGGACAGCGACAACGTTTAATAAGTTGGGCACGGTAGCATGTAATGCGGAATTGGATTTGGATTCCGGCTCGGAATCCCCAAGCGCGGCTGCAGCTGCCACAGAACGCAAATATGCTAAATGTCAGACAGTAAGTCGGGGTAGCATGGGCATGGAGTGGGCATGGAACAAGAGCCAAGTCCCGAGTGGGAGCAGCGGCGTGGGCGTCCAAAAGCGCAGGAGGCACCTTCCAATGCAAATAAACAGGAACTTCTGGAGCTGGCGTGCAGCCTGGGAAACGAGCAAGGACCTGGAGGAGGAGCGGTTTTAGTCCTGCTCTGGTTAAGCGTTTTGCAGCGAAGTTCATTTGTGGATCTGGGCTTCCTGATTACACTTTGCCACAGAAAAGTTAAGATAAGGATAAATAAATAAAAAAAAAAATCAGATAAATATATCACTAAACCAATATTTGTTTATTTAAATATTTAATTATATTGAAAGACGTTGACGGGATATAAAAATATAAAGCTTTTTAATTTCTTTTATAAATATTTTTAAAAAACTAGCTAAGAATATTTACTGGTATATATAAATTAATAATTTAAATTCATCAATTGTCTTTTATGTCCATTTTAACTGATCAAACAAATGTTCCGCCTTATGATGCCCATAAAACTAGCTGACTTTCAACTTTTCCGCCAACTTGTTGCAGAGTGTAATATATTTCTTATGGCCTGGCAAATGTCATGTCAACGCAAAAAGTCAAAAGTGCGCGGCAGGTCGGTGTAGAACCACACACAAAAATTCATACAACTGTAGAGCTGTATCCCTAACTGAATCCATATAAATTGGTATAAATATGTATGGCATATAGCGGGAGCAACGCAACCAGTTGATTTATACAGGAACCATGTTCGTGTTGATTTTCATTTAACGGTCTTTTAGTCAACTTCCTGACACAGTGACTGCCATATATTTACGTCTGGCTATGTCTACATAATACGTTGTTACTCCTTTCTTAGTTTTATACACTCTTCTCTGAAAAAAATGCAAACTGGTATTCTTTACTATAGTTAAGCTGCCTTAGAATTTTTGGAACATAAACAGCTAATAATTAAAAATAATAAATAAAATTATAAAAAATCTTATGCCTAATTTAATTTTAAGAAGATAAATTGTTTAGGAAAAGAATATTTAATATGCATTGAAATATTGTTTTTAAATTTGAATTCTTACAAAATCTAAAAAAATACAGGTTTTACAGCCAGGATATCCTCCACAATTTAAAAAACTTTTAGAAAAGCTTTTTTCATTTATTTTAGTGTAACAAGGCATAAACACGCAAAGTCTCATACAAAATGGTTGAAGGGAGCAAGTGAAGCCTTTTCCAGTCAGTAAGTCAGTCGGTTGGTCGTTCCTCTTTAGGGGTAAAAGTTAAAGGGGAAACCCTCTTCAAGTATGCATTATGTCATTAGCATGTTGGCAAATATAAAGGGCCAAACTTTGTTGAATTCTGGGCCTTTTTTCACCGCCTGACGGCTGTCTCCTGTCTTTCGTTCGAGTTGCGATGACGAAATGTAATGTAGCATAAAACTGTTTACGAATTAACGAAATTCCAAACAATTATGCACAAACAAATTCATATTTGCTCGCAAAGTTTCGGCCTGGACCTGGCCCAACAATCTGGCTTTTTGTCATGTGGCAGGGCAATTTAACTTTGTGCACTTTGGCATAGTTTGTGAGGCAATATTCTGATTATTTTGATTACTGTGCGGGCGCAAAAAGATCTACCACTCAACGAGCCAATAAACACTCTATTAGGAAATCATATACACCGCAAAAAATAGATTCAAAAGTTTTTGGAATAATTTAAAACTTTTTAAATCCAAGTAACACACAATTTTTTAAACTTTGCAAGCTCAAAAAATATTTCTATATGAAGTAGAAACAAACATAATCTTATTTTATTATTCTTTTTTTTTTAATTAACTTATCAATAAGTTTTTTATCAGAAAATATGAGGTTTCTTATTATAAATATATAACGTAATATTTTAAACCATCTTGCTTTGAACCTGTAACCATTCCAAAATGAAAAATATTAGATCAAATGAGATTTTGAATTAAAAAACATTATATCGATCATCAAAATTTATTTCTGTGCAGTCCGCAGTTCCGTTCCCATAGAAGAGATATAAGATTTCATGTTCATGGTTAAGGCCAATCGCATCTATTATCACCAGAGCTTTTCAGATGCAAATAATCCCACAGAAAACGCGACAATAACAAAACCATGCCTTGAGCTGAACAATACCAAAAAAACAAATAGATCTCTCCTTATACGAATGTCTATAAGATTTTAAAAGTTAATGCGATCGCAGAGCAGAGATAGTGAATTAATTTGCTGGAGAAGTTGAATGCCCTTAGAGCTACTGATGGCTATGGCGGTGTCTGGACCTGGACCTGGCTAATAAATATACTAAAATGATTTAGAACTCGACCAGAGAGCTGGCATTAAGCCGAGGAGGAGTCATTAAGCTACCAGTGGTCGCACAAATTTTAAATGTAAATTATATCAGACAAACTAGTTCTGCGATGAACCCAATCCACCGGAAATATGCGAGAGGCGGCTCATTTGTACATCATCTGCCGAACTCCCAATCGAAAACAAACTGCAGGCGGAAGTGCCCAAAGCTATAGCCAAGTGTTATAATTACACAAAAAAGCGAACCGAACAGAGCGAACCGAGCCGAAAGCAAAGTCAAGCGATCAAATATAAATATCAAGATGATGAGTTTGGTCGTTGAGTGACCTGGCTTCTGGCGGCGATCACAATGATGATCTCTTGATGAATTAATGAACTCAATAAATGCGTATTTATTGACTGTATGGTAACTGTAATGAACATAACCAAACCAAACCAAACCGAACACCAACTTATTGCTTCCGGCTATTTTGGGCCCGTGACCTTGTCTGTTGTTTTTGGCCAACAACCAAAATTCGAAAGTTCAGTGCTCCAAAAGTATGGCCCATCTGGATAAGACACGAGCACATCTTGAACTTTCAAATCGAATCGCAACAGAACACTCATCATCATGACATTAGGAAGCCGCCAGCATACGAGTTCGTCTATAAAAACCAGAAAATAAACAAGCAACGGCTTCAGAATCGATTCACGAACCACCATATGCGGATGCAAAATCCACAAATAAGCCAGCAAGAACAAATTGTTAGTGCGACAGAAAAGTGATCAAATAATAGAAAAAACAAGTTTTCGTATTTAATTAAACAATTCCAGAGGCAATCAATTAAAGAATAGAAAAAGTTCAAATTAAAGGGAATCGAACCGGTGAATAAATTATGCAAAAATAGCAAAAAGTTCTTATGCGACATATTCATACATATATAGACGCGACGCGTGCCCCTATCTTATCTCGTGACGCGTTTGCCGCTTTTTTTTTATTTCGGAACTTAAAAACTGGTCGCAAAGCCCGACCTTGACACTCACTTTTCTAAACAATCAACTCGGATCCGAGACCATTTTTCGATCTCTGCTTTTTGGCCAGCATCTCGTCTTCTTTCTCAGCCGCTTTTCAAGCCGCCCATCAGTCTTCCGCCGGACCGGAGATGAAACGCACGGATCGCGTCCGCTGAGCTGTGTTTTATTATATTTCCCCGAAACCAAAACCAAAACCAAACATATACCCAAGACCAACCAGCTAATTGCTGCAACTAAAAGCTATTGAAAACTCTTGCCTAATCGCCACAAGTGCAGCGTGCAAACAATAAAACAAACAGCCAAACAAAAGTGCATAAAAAATATACAAAAAACGTGTGCTTGTCCATGCAACTGCATATATTAATACATAATTAGCCGAAGATCGTGGAAGCATCTCAGTGTTCGGAGTGCTTGTATATATATGGCAAAAATGTGGCAGGGAATCGTGTGGAGCTTGACTTTCTGCCTCGTCGGATTGGCGGGTTTCGGCCTCGGCAACAACTTGGCCGGCTACGAAGGGTAATCATCAGCGGTTAATTATAATTTACAACGTTACCGAAAAGTAGCAAAAAAGTAATACGTAATACCCATCAATCAGGCGGGTCTTCTTTAGGGCAAGTAATTAATTGAATTTTTTATGCGGTCAGTGGTTAAGTGTTTCTAGCTGATAAACGGGTTTTCGCATCTCTGTCAGTTTGCTTTAGCGAGGACGACGACGCCTGTCGTTCTGAATCAATCCATAGGCTCCAATAAATACAGTTGCGTACATGATAAAGCCGTCCAC